ATTATTTGAACTGTTATTCTCATCTTCGTTGCCATATTCACAACGTTTCGGTCGTTGTACGTCCCGGCCTTCTTCAGGTGATTGGAATTTCGAACTGAACCCTTTATTTCGTTCACTGGGGTAGATTGCTCTAGTTCCAGGTGCCATGTCTCTTCTGGATGTCTCAGTTATTTCCCTTTAACTCAACTCTCCAAGTTTTTGGTTCACCACTCCTGTAGTCTGGTGTTGAAGTCACAACTCTTTGGAGCTAGTCATTGGATCTCACCAATGCTTTTATCCACTGGGCCATGTTAACATTTAAAAATAGTTCTTCCGACGAAATAACATTTTTTCGGATATAAATCAGAAGGACAAGAACAAAAAATATTCGCTGAATTTTTATTAGTTGCTAAAATTGTATATTCTTTTTAATTTTATAATTATGAATAAAAATCGTTTATTTTTTTTTGTCAACACTTGCAACACTAACCCTAATCATAAAACAAAATTATATAGCTTTCAATAGTCAAGTTTTCTTTCATTTGTACTTTAATACAGTAACAGCAGCAGTCGCATAAATCAGCGTTATTTGTTACCTCGCTTTAGTAATTTTTTAATACATCATAAGGTCAGTTTATGAATTAGTAACAAACTTTTATCAAACAATTTTGGTATGCTTCTGAATATTTACTATACAGGTGGGCGGTGGAAAACTTTTCCATGTGAAAGTGGGGCGATCACACAAAAAAGGTTCGGAACCTCTGCTTTAAATTATAATTTACACAAAACAGGAAATGACAAGAGCAAATTTGTAAATATATTCTTAAAAAATAAAGACATTGTTGAAGATAAATGCTGGCCTGTTTTTAAATAGTTTCTATTTAAATTCTTTATGAAGAACCAACAAATATAGCAAACGAAGAGGAATCCGTTTTAGCACGGTCGCTAGGGCGCCGAATCCATTTTGGCGCTTACCCATTTGGCAACGGATGTCAGTGCTTATAAATACACATTCCTGGAACAAAGTAAAATACATTTTCCCCTTACCTAAATCTCACTGAACTAATTTTGCCGTTGACAACCAAACCTTTTATTAAGCTAATCGTTGCCAGAAACAACTTTCCCACTAAATTATAATTTCCTTTGTGTTGATAATATGGAAATACATTCTTTCGTTACAAACAATACACAATTTTGTTCGACAATTTGATCGAGAAGTCAGATTTTTTACTGACCGTGTATTACGATATGCACTAAAAATCCTGTTAATTTGAACAAAAGTCAATGAATTTCACTGACTTTTGTTCAAATTAACAGACAAAAACTGTTTTAAGCATAAAATTGAACAACTTAAAATAGAAGTTAAGATTTAAAATTTACAATGCCAATAGAATTAAGGGAAAGAAATATGTTAAGATATTTAAGATTTTAGAATTTAAAAACTAAAAAAGTAAATTAAATTAGAGAAATTTTAATACAGTTTTATGATCAAAATGTCATAAAACTTTATTTAAAAAATTATCTAAAGTTTTGGCGCTCTACGTTTTGATTGGTTATAAAAATAACAAATCAGAGCATAGTACGCCAAAGTATTAATAACTATAAATATCAGAGTCAAAGACGAGTTAATAAAACATTTTTTTTATTTTATACGTGAACATATTGTTACTCGAATCTTTGTCACACTGTGGTATAGATTATCGCCACTTGTCACCTGTAATGGATAGCGGCTCGGATTGAGGAATCGGAGAGCGGAGTTCGAATTCCAGTTGAATCCATTACATTCATTTCATAATAAAAGGTATGAATCCTTTTCTTTTCCCCACAGCTATGGGTAAATAGCAGGACAGACCGGGTTCTATAGCCTTGAAGAAGAAAGAAATGGCAGGCTACTGAGGGAAAAATCTACCTCGTCAGCCATGTATCGAAAGATACATGATCGCCTACGCATGTATCACGCATGGCTGGCAACTGACTGACTCTATTTAAATAGGTCCACCTCGGACACGCACCATTTCTGTCGAATAAATCTTCAGATAAGTTAAACCTGCGATCGTCTTTTCACTGCAATTCGATTTAGAATCAACATGGACCACTGCAGGAGACCACAAAGGGTCGACATCAACCCTGACTATACCACAGCTGCGAGCAATGGACCCATTGGATTTTAACGTTTGTAAACTTCGTAGAAACATTATTAAAGTGGCACAGCCTCACCGACAAAGAGACAAGACAAGTCTGAAACAAATTATGTCTCCCTATGTCTACAGGGTAATTCAGACTCCCCTTTCTTACGAGGAAGCTATAAACTTGCTGCGCGCAATTTATGTCAAGCGTAAAAAAGAGATTTTCACTCGGCACCTACTCGCCACTCGAAAACAGGTGAATCACTCGAGCACTAACTAAATTGGGAACACTAAGCAAAGACTGCAATTTTAAAGCAATGAATGCAGATTTCCGGGACGAACATATTATGGACGCCTTTATAAGTGGCTTTCGAAATGCTCCAGTGAGGCAGAGACTCTTCGAAAACAAAACCATGACGTTAAGAACTGCCTACCACAACTTCGAAGTCGCCCAGAGACAGTCCGTTTATTTCTTGCATACCGTCGGTGCGTCTTAGGAGTCTCATAGTTCTCCTCACTCTTGATTTTTATCTTGGAAATCCTACCGGGATTCAGCATCGGCGACCACAATCTTAACATAAGATACGCAGATGACACAGTACTGATAGAAGACACGGAAAAGAAATTACAAAACCTACAGAAGGTAGCGAAGGAGAGTAAGAAGAAGGGACTAAGCATAAATTACAAGACAGAATGCATGGTCATAAGTAAAAGGATGAGCCCGAAATGCGATTTGCAGGTCGGGGACACTAAAATCGAGCAGGTGCGGAAGTTTAAATATCTGGGAAGTGTTTTGACAGGGGACGGCAAGTGCGACACTGAGATCCGTAGACGTATTGGGATGGCCAAGGATGTATTCGAAAAGCTAGGCAGTGTACTGCGAGACAGGAGGATCTCTTTGATAACAAAGAAAAGAGTACTGAGTACGTGACATCTGTCCTTCTTTACCGCAGCGAATGTTGGACGGTAAGATGAAGAAATTAATTACAGAATTAGTGCCTGGTTATTAAATTTCTACTGCTCGGTTTGAACGTAATCTGTCAGTTCAGTAATTTATACTGATGATTTCCTGGTATCCATTCCTACTTTGTTTTTCTTTTAATCGTCGTGCACATATTTATCTTCGATTGGCTCTAAGGACCGATAACCGGTTGATCTGTTTATTTCCTTGTTATATATTTTCCATCTACCCCTTTTTAACCTTGCTATATATTTATATATACTCTTAAAATGTCCGTTGTCAAATCATTAATAAAATCTTGTAACCTTCTCTTTAATTATTTATGGACTAGATACATTCCGGAATCAGGAAATTAAAGTATTCTTTTATAACTTAATAAAACAATTCTCTCCAATAAATTACCTTTTAAAATTTTGTTTTGAAATCGATGGATTCTTTTTTTTTTTTTTTTTAATAAATTGCATCCAGCATTAGTGTTCACCTTTTCTAAAAAAAAAAAAAAGTTTTACCTTTTCTTGATGCACTATATTTCTTTTTTTTTTTTTCTGACTTCTGGGTCCCTCAAGTCTACTTTTACGGACTTGTACACACGTCAGGATTCTTTTTTTAAGACTTTGATTTATCGGGTCCATATGTTCTACAATCAAATTAAATTCGGAAATCGCGTATATTGCGAAGGTTTGAGGAAAATGGTCACCCTTTAAACTTTGCGCAATTTAACAAACCCGAATTGTATGGTTCAGAAAAGCGTGGATTGGGGAGGTTTGCACTGGATTTGCGAGCAAATCATCCAAAGTGTGCAGACTTTCTATCTTTCTGCCAATCCACAGCTTCTTTTCTCTTCCCAATCTATGGTAAATCCATTCGCAAAGATATTCTTCCCACCCCATCATATGAGTTCAGTTATCTATAGTTACAAATATCAGTGTGATGCTGGATATATTGGCAGAACCAATCGGTTTGGAAACCAGGATTGACCAGCACGTGCCAGCCTAAGACCCATCTAGAGAAGTGTGAATATTTGCATAGGTTTCTGAATACTTCTAGTTCTGCTATTGTTGAACACTTAATAATCCGATCTGTGCCTCATCCTTTTTCCAATGATTTTTTTTTCTCCCCATAATCAGTAAAACATATTCAAATTACCATCTAAGAATCCTTGAGGCCATATAATCATAAATTATAATTATTATTCTTTGGAAATACAAAAATTGTAATTTGAGTAATAAAGGAAAATTACCAGGTCTTTTTCAAATAAATTGTAAATTAACAAACACGAAAAATGTCTAGCAAAGTCAGAAATATCACTTTCGATATGGATTTCATTAGAGAAATATATATATATTTAAAAAATTGATTATCATAAACTCTGTAACAACGTTTGTGATTAGTCACAATTAATATAAACTTCCAATAATTGGGATAGAATTTAAACTGAAATTTATTTAAAACAGTTTTAGTATGCAAAGTTGATTTTCTGCGGATGTATCTTAGCAATCAGTTTTATTTAAGATATTCATAGGAATATCTGATATAAAGGAAGTTCTTGAATTTCTGTAAATGTCATAACTCAGTTTACAAGCAAAATTGATATATTGTCTTTGAGAGGCTGCCATGTAGCCTCAATTATCGGTGAGTATTTTGCTCTCTAGCCACTTCGTTTATCTCTTTAAAAAGATGGAGTCGCCTGGAGTAGATTAAAATACACGAGGGTGTATTTTTAGTTGACTGACTACGACCTGTTGCAAAGTCACTTATTTAATTTCTGGTGGATATGAACTCGAAGGTTTTGAATTTTGATGTATACGAAGGCTTTGTTAAATGTTCTTTACATTAATTTTAACGCTTAAATGTTATTTTCATACTATCGGTAATGGCATGAAAGAAAATAGAATTTAAAAAATATACTTAACATGGAAATACAAATGACTTACTTGAGGTCGATGATTTCTGAGAAGACTTTACTGTTTTCAATAAGCGCGCTCATGTGGGCACTCAAATCCTTCAATGAAAATAAACAAGAAAATACGATACAATTAAAAAGACGGTTTCTAAATCTTCTGGCTCGGGTGCTGTAAGAAGGCTTGGCATGATTTATTAGTTAACTGTTAAAGAGATAATAACTTCAAGTTCCTTGAAGTAAGACCTGAAAAAATAATTTACAATGTCCAGACTGTTATCCTCGTCTTTGTTACCATATTCACGTTTCGGCCGTTGTATGTTGTAAGGTGATTGGAATTTCGAACCGAACCCTTTTTTCGTGCACTGAAGTAGATTGTTCTGATTCCACGTGTTATGCCTCTTCTTGCATGTGGAACTAAATTCAAACCAACCAGTGTTCGATGTCAACACCGACGACGACAGCCACCACCAATGTCCATTTCACTTCTAATTTCACCATTCTCTCTCCTTGTTGCCTTAGCAACAACAACATATAGAAGTTACTAGTTTCTGTACATATGTAAAGAAATACATTTATTTATATATACTCATTTTCCTCTTTTTGTTTGACACTTGGATTTATGTTTTTCGAGGTGGAGAAGGAATTAACCTCTACAACAACCACAAGGTTTTGTCTCCCGGGTTACCAATTTCTGCCTCCGCAACAGCATTTGTAAAAATGAATAGAACCAGTTATCTCAAGACACGGGCAAGGTTCAAAGGTAGATTGTTCTTGTTCCACTATCGTTTCGCTTTGAAATTGAATGAGTTTAGGAAATTAATGAAATATTTTCATTATTAATAAACTGACAATAAATAGTCATTTTGAATCCTGTTGCTACTTCCAGCGCGCCCTGTAAACGGAACACTAGCTCATCGAGGTGTGAAAAACACTGCTGAAAGTAGCAGTGTGTTTGCTGAGGATTACGGTAAGCGTGAAGTGCTCCAGCGCTGAATAGCTGCGAGAGGAACGGTTCTGTTGTAGGAAGCACTAATGTGGCAACGAAGAAACTGACTTTCTGTTATATTGCTGACGTGAGCTCTAATTACATGCTAACCTTTTCCTAACAGTATAATCTTTTCCATTTCATGGTATTTGCTATCAATGCCGTCAAAAGCAGCAAGACTGACTTGACTTTCTTCTTACAAAGGTAAACTTCTAAACTGGCTGGAGAGTTTCTGGTGCGCATACGCATATCGTTCCCTCGTGTGTTTGTTTTCTGTTGTTTAAGATAATGGGTCTATGCTTTTCTCCATTAAAAACTAATTTTGTATGGCACTGGTATTTAGTGTACTTAAAACGATTATTTGGTTAGATGTTTTAGTGCCTCATTTTACTTGCAACTATTGCCACGTGACGCAGTCAGTGTATTTACAACAAATTAGTCGTAAATTACCTTTTTTTTATAGCCATCTGTCACTTATTGCCAAGACTGTTTTTTTTTACATTTACATAAATCCTTCTAAGTAAAGCGGTTAGTCGAAATAAGTGCTGCTTAGTTGGTTGCTCTTTTGTATTCGTCTCGTTTAAGATTTTTTGACGTTTTACTCTGTGACACCGAGCTGTCCGTGGTCAACTCTCAGTCGCGGCGGGAAACTGTAATAATTCTCCTACCGGCGTTTTGGGGTTGACTCTTAGTCGCTGCCACCAGCTTGTGTCCCGGTCGATTGGTGGTCGTCGCTACCCGGCGGAATCCTTTGGTCAGGGTACCAAGTGAGATGGTCGGTCGATGCTAACGGCTTCACACCAGCTGCAACCGGTTCGACACCATCTCCGTCGTTCCCAGCTCACTTCCAAGGTCTGGTTACCAAAGTAACTGCTTCGATCTCAAGTCTAACCTACCCACGTTGTGATTTTGATCTTAGGTAGACGAGATCAATCAGGCTTCGGGCCGTAGTGTAAGATGAGTCTAGACTGGAGGTGATATCGCACAAGTTTAAAGAAAAAGAAGCAAATAAAAACTCAAGAGTATGTTAAAAGTAACAAATTAACTTGTATCCGTCTGTTATATACAGGAGTGTGTTTTTCTCCCAGTCCGTTTTCTATGGAGTGTGACACTTTTACGTTTCTTAGGCAAGTTCTGGTCCTCTAAGCCAACTGGTTTAGTTTTTAAGTGCTGGCTTAGCTTCGTTCGTCAGTATAACTTGCTATTGGTAGGATAGGCGAAGTAAGATGTCGTGGAATCTCTTGGACAGCTTCTGCGAGGCAACACTCTAGTTCCTTCTACTCGAACTGAACTGTCGAACGGCCCGAGGACGTTCGTTTATATGGGTACCGACCAAAAACCGGTGCGGGGTTAGACACAGTCTGGGGTTTTCGGTAAATCTCGATTTCTGACAAGAAATCTCTCTGTTGTCAGGCCAGGAAAATTGATTACTTTCCATTTTTGGAAAATTAATCACTTTCCATTTTGGGGGAATCTCTTCGTCCGTGAGGAGAGGTTGGAAGAGAGCTATCCTCCTAAACTTCACCTCTCTCACATTGATAGCTCATACCAATCCCTTCAGTGGGCGTTAATAACTTCTCCGTCCTTCCTATCAAATTACCTCCGCCTATCAACATTGCTACCACTCGACCAATGCGTCCCGGCCGTGCGGTTTTGGTTAAGCTGGCCTCATTAAAATTATAACCCTGAATTTTTGTTTACAAAATTCTTTTTTCCCCATCTGCCAAAATTCTTATGAATCACACATTGCCACTTAAAATCTCTCAGATCTTTTGGTTACTCTGTGTCTTCTTAACCAGCACTCTTTACAAATTCCATCAATCACTTGTCAAAGTCTGCCATCTGGTCCCTTCATGAAGTTAGCTTTTATTGGAACCCTTAGCTTCTTGAGAAATTAAATTTCTTATCACGCAAATCGCAATTCTTCCGCGATATTTTTCTCATGCCAAAATTTTATAATCACCATATGGCTACTCAACGTGTCGGTACTGATGATGACACTTTGGAAAAGTAAATAATAACAATTCTCTGCACCCCGTATCGGAATATTTTCTCATGCCGAAATTTTTCACGATGTACATATGGCTTTTCAACTTGAGGCACTTAAAAAAAAATGATTTTGGAAAGATAATTAATATTGATTCTTTTTACCCCGTATCGGCAAATCATTTCGGAATACTTTCTCATGCCAAATTTTTTATAATCACCAAATGGCCTGCCGCTTGATATCCCAACGTTTTTTCTGAATTTTGTGTTTTCTCGGCAAGCACTTGTACAAACAACATTAATCAACTGTCAAAAAGCTCGCATATGGCTTTTCTGCGACTCTACTGTCTACGCCAATTTACGGGGCTTTGAGAAAGTAAGTCGATTTTATTCTCAAGTAAAAAAAATAAAAATTTTGGGGTATCTTCTTTTCTGTTCTCATTATTTTCTTGTTTTAATTTCTATGGTTAATTAGTTAACCAATAAACACAGTTAGTATCACACTCAGAGGTTATGGTAAGTGGTATACATAGCAAGGCACTAAACTTGTGTGCTCCGATCTAAGCATCGGATACTCTACCAAAGTGCAGTGTAGATCTACTAGTTCAAAGATACAAGTCAAGAACATTAATATATAGGGTACTTCAACAAGAATACTATCTTTTATTTGTTTTGTCTTATTTGATAAGATCTTTTAAAGTACACGACATCAGAGTATAAGAAAACACGCTTTACATTTTTAATTAGGAAAAAATATGATATAAAAAAAGACAATCTTTGAATACATTATGACAGTACAAAAAAGTACATTCAATATAAAATTTTAAAATACTATAGAATATTTTTATCAATTTTAAAATTTTCTATTGAGAAACTATGGAATTATAATGGCACCACAAGAACATATTTTAATAAGTTATTGCACTAATACTACGAGAAGACAAAAGGAACGAAACAACTAAAGGTGTAGGTTGGGCCTAAAACTGAGCCCTTCTTGATTTCACTGATGCAAATTCCTCAATCCCAACTGCTCAACACGGCGATCAACAGGTAACGTTCGACAACAAAAATCTGTTTGTTGGTGTCAACTGCTGCCACATACTTTATTAGTAGTACTTAATGCGTAATTAATGAGTATCCTACAAATAATTTGTTCCGTGGTGTCGAGGCCCCCCACTCCAAGTGGTGCCCATGACACTTGTCTTACTAGCCATACCCTAGAAACGGCACTGGTTTTATCTGTCCTATACTGTTGCTGTTTCTCAAAGACTTTTGTGCGGGCGTTACGACGGAATAACCTTTTCTAGTTGACTGTTATATAAGAAATACTGTTCTTTGAATCGAAATTTATTAGATCAAGGACTGAAAATAATCTGACGCTTTACTTTTTTGATAAGATAAACTAAAAGATAAAGATTTTCGATTTCTCAAAATAGTTCAATGCTCACAGGGAACAGACAAGTCTTTGGCATTAGAAACAACTCGATTGATTCAATATATAGTCTTGATTTGAAACGAGGTTGTTTTAATGTTATATAAAATTAGAAAATTACTTACCATGTCAAGTTTAAATATATTTACAGTGGAACCATTTCTTAGGTGAATATCAAAGCTTAAACATCCTTTCAGAGTTAGTTGTATAATTTCATCAAACAGCCAATGTGGAGCTCGTCTGTTAGCCATTGATAACCTTACAGTTTCATTTGGGTATCGAAGTCCAATCTGAAAGAATATGTACTTTTGTTTTTAATTTTTTAAATTATTTTTTATTTTCAGTTTGTGTCATCAATTACTCAAAGTTTTGCATTCATTTGGAAGAAAGTTCTTATTGGTATTAATCATTTAGCATTAAAAGAATGTAAAAGTAAAAACATGAATGATAAAGAAAGACAGATAATTGAGATAAGGGTGAAAAAGAAAACAGCAGGAGGAGGAAAAATACTGAGCGAGAATTGCGTGAAACTTCGTCTATCAGAGGCACGTGTTTTGATACATTATAAACAGTCCACTAGCAGCGAAAGACAGACGTTAGTCAGCTTAAGGATAAGCCCTATTTCCAACACAATTACATACTCACATATATACCTTATTAAAACACGCCCAAACTTTATTTTCTACCCAAAAAACAATATTACAAATATGCCAAAGTGTGTTGGTTAGCATACGTGAAATATTTGACCAATCAGAAAAACTAAAACCCTATTTTTCTCGGGCCTACTTTCGAGAAAAATTTCTTATAAAAACCTCCTACAGATTTCGATTTTTCAGAGAGCAGAGGTACAGCTGTCTCCGGACAATTCGGACCCAAGAGTAGACATGGCTTCATAGTTTTTTTTTCCTTTCTCCCAACAGCATGTGTTGAAAGAAACATGTCGATGACTTAAGTTCAAATGAATCAACATTACGGACGGACGACCAGTCGGTGACTTCAAACGAGCTCATCTCCAGCAGCAACAAAGACGGCCAGTGAATATTTGCTAATGGTAAAAATCTTTTCTCAACTACAATTTTTTTTTCTGTGGACTATTTAAAATTATTTTCTAAACTATAAATTTTTTGTGAATCAAAAACCCGAAGACTTTAACTCAATAATTTTAACTCTTTTGAATTCATGTACATATGTTTGTCAATACAAAGATTTATTTAACAGGCATACTCATGTTGTCTTTATTTTATTATTGTCTGAAATTCGGGCGTTCAGATTTTTTAATATGAAAAAAACAAAAAAACAAAAAAAAAAACGACCGAATTTCCTACATTAGTAGAATTATAATAGGTGATCATGGTCACTAACCGTAGTGTAGCTGTTAGTAAACTCATATGGCAGAACAATTTGCTAGTGTAATGACTTGCGCCAAACTAAGCTGTTTAGTGTAACAACTGAAATAAATCATAGATCGACCAATGAGATTTTCGCATCATTAAATCGACACCACACCAATCAGAATAAATATATTTCATATTAAATGACCGATTTGTCAACGCTGTCGATTCACTGCAGATTATTTCTTGAGATTATTATTAAATAACAATGTCTATTTTGTAAAGTATTTTTTCGTACTAACAATCAGTACAGAAGTCCGAACAAATGCTGGAATGGCAATTACTCTTCTCAAAATTATAGACAATAGCTTAAACACTTGCTAATATTATGCGTCTTTGTGCTATGATTGCTATTAAAGAAAATTTGATTTTTCCCATTTATATCGACGTAATGCGTCACTTATTTTTGTTACTCACCATTTTACCCACACGAATACGAAATGATAATCAGAATCGATATTGGCTTCAAAACACTTTCAAGACAGTTTTCTTTCGCTTTTATAATGCAAAACATTATTACTGCTTTAATCATTTGTCCACATAAATATTTCCAACCGCTTCTTATTCGATAATCTTAGGTAAACTTTCATTACCAAACCTAAAAACCAGAATAGTGGACAATTATTATTACAATCAGTAATGAAAATTTCACGGTTTTCCTATTTTAATTTTGTGATGAATTATAATTCTGGATTTAATGATTGAATAAACTTGCACATTCCATGACGATAAAATACCCGTGGAAATTCACCGATTGCCTCGTTAAATATTTGAGTTGAACAACTTGAACGAAATACTACACAGTAACAATCCTGCGTATGAATGTAGGTCATGAGTGTAAGAGGGTAGAATAAAAAGATTAAAAACTGATAAGGTCTTTTTCATTTCACTTCCTTCTCCTCTTTTTCTTTCTTTCTTTCTTTCTTTCTTTCTTTCTTTCTTTCTTTCTTTCTTTTTCTATTAGTATCTGTGCTTCCTTTTTCTCACTAAAGCCAAATACCGTTTCTGATATATATATATATATATATATATATATATATATATATATATATATATATATATATATATATATTTTTTTTCCGTCTTTCCTCGCAATCAAAACGGAATTGTCTGTTATTTATCTGAGTTGATGACAGGGTGTAAAAAACGGGCTAACTTATTAAACAACAGAGGAATAAGCAGAATTTTCGTTTAGGTTTTTGTATAATACAGTATTTTTATGGCCTTAACCTTCAGTACACACACATATGATATATATATTAGAAAAGAAGAAATAATTCTCTGTTCGTCACACTGACTGTATGTGATTTTACATGTGCGTATATAATGTGTATGCGTCTGTCTGTGTTGTGAATGAGGGACTTAGATATGCTTGTACCATTTAAGGTACACGCAAACAAAAATGACATATTCACGCGCAATTTGATTGAGTTTGAAATAAGCTATTGAAATGATAAATTTGCATCTGACTTAGTCCGGGCAATCCTTACCCTGGGCTGAGCAATAAAATCATGAATTTGGAGACAAAAAAAAAAAAAAATTAACCCTAAAAGATCAGATAATGACAAGCTTTTACTTAACATTTCAAAAATTATTTGTCAATAAACAGTTTTTTTTAATTTTGTAGAAATATTTCTGGTCTGCTATTACATTACATATGCACTAGCAAATGTACATACACACAATTTGAATGAAATTGAAGTGGATATCTGTGTCGTTCAGGCTAATTTCCCTCTCTGTCTAAGAACATCATCTGGGTAACAGGTAATAAGTATAAGCTGGCCCGTTGAAATCATTTTTTGACTCCTGTATTTAAACTGAATATGTTTTCTAATAAATGTTGTATTTTTAATAGACAAAATATTTAAACTTGAAATTTGTTCATTTTGCTGTCATAGAAGCGATAAGTTCGATGACAGCAACTTGTACTAATCAATTATCTTTCTAGTGGCAGATCCATATAGCCATTCTCCACCGACCGAAACAGTCTTGTCCAACCTGGGACATATGGACTTTGCTTATGTCTTTTTTTTTAGATTTCTATTGATGTCGGGAATTTTGTAGATTAAATATTCTTCTCAGTTTTCCATTACACAATTGTGTAATATAACTGAAAGTCTAGCTTACTTTTTTGCAATAATTTTAAGATAATGATAATGCTTACCACTGGGAGTATTGTGCCAATACAAGCTTCCCCTTCTCTGCAGCTTGTTTTCAGCAGATGACCTGGAATCTATAGAAAGGAAGAAAAATACCACAGCCTCATCAAAAGTCATAAAAATCGATTTTATATTTATAAGCATTGCATAAATATTCTTAGCAAATATATTTCGTGTTAATTGTATCAGAAATAATTATATTGTAAATAGTAATAGATCTCATCAGTATTTTATCATGAGTACAATCCAGATAAATATTCATATAAGTAGACAAATTGTTATTCAACAAATAAATTTACAGGGGATCCTCGACTTACGTCGGAGATCCGTTCCTACGGCGTGACGTAACTTGATTTTTGACGTAGGCCGAAACTCACCCACATAAGCACACACAAGTCTGCCTTACGCTTGGGAGCAATAACGAAGAGCAAAAAGTTCCCCCAAAAATGACACAAACGAGAGATAGCGAATGTAAAACAATCCAATATTGCGTACAGCCGATGAGCAAACAATGACGTCTTCATCATATAGCATCGCGCGACGACGCATAGGAGATGGCGCCGTAACCATGAAACGCTGTACGTTGTGTCCGACGTAACGTGAGGAACTTCTGTATTTGGCATAAAATCTATATTAAAAAAGAAGAGCTGATTCTCTCTCCGTCACACACTTGTCTGAGTTTGACTTTGCATACACACATTGTAATGTATATGCTTATGTCTGCGCTATGCGCGAGTGACTTACATGTGCCTGTGTCATTTAATGTACAAACAAGAACATACCTAGTCTGGACAACCCTCACCCTGAGCTGAGCAATAAAAAAGTTAAGTTTTTAAACCCTAATAAATGAGATATTTTTATGGTTTTATTTAACTTTTCGGAAATTGTTCGGTAATAAATAGAATTAGTTTTTAAAGTTGCTTTTTTATTTTTTAGAAATATTTTAAGGTCTGTAATTAAATTAAAGTATACATGCCCACATGCACATTTTGAATGAAAATAAAATGGATAATTGCGTCGCGAGAGATAATTTCGCATTGGTTCTGGCAACAACCGCTGGATAATAAGAAAGAATCGTCCTTTTAAAGTCATTTTTATGACCCCCTTCTGTATTTAAACTTAACATATTTTTAAATTAATATAGTATTTTAAAAGGTTAAACAATTTAAATTTGAAATGTGATCATCTTGCTGTCAGCTAAATGACAGTTACCGAAAGAGTACATACAAAAATATTGAGATGACTGTTAATGTTATCACGATCACGAATCCCGTGACCACTGAAGGTTGTTGATGCACATCATGTACTACAGTCATAACAGCAGTGGGTGGATGTTTCAGAACGCCTAGACTAACCAAAAATGTTAAACCTTACCGTACTAGTCAAAACTTTGACGGCCCAAACTGAGTGGGGATTTTTATAATCATTTCATCTCAAGCAAGGCAATAAAGCCACTAAGACGCAGCTTGACGAAATATGAGAAAAAGAAAACATTAAAGAACGAGAATAATAAAAGAACAGGGATTAAGAAGATAACAATTGATACTGCATTTAATTTTTTTAAGATCAAAGTTGACTAGAAAGCAAGAAGCCGGATGTGAGTTTCACAAACGAGAAGTGCTAGAGAAGAAACTGTTAGCATAGAACTTATATTTAGCCATTTCAACTGTACGATTATGAGACTTCCCGCAAATCTAGTACCGTGCTTAAATTTATAAAATTTAAGTACCATAGACGAAAGTTCATCAGAACAATTACTATGAAAATATTTATAGAAAGGAATAGGGGAGCCACATTACGATGGTGGGGCAATGTCTGAAGTTGAGATGCCAATAATATTGCAGAATTCAACCCTGTGTATTATCATTGTTTAAGATTTAATATAAGATCGAAAAACGCTCGAAAACAGTATATTTGCAGCAGTAAAGAAGTGAAGATGGTTGACCCTAACCCCTCCCCAGATTCCTTTGAGTGCTGTAAATTCAGCAGAGAGAGACAAGCCACTACATGGAAATGTTGGGTAACTGGCCGACTTGTTGATATCCGTTATCTCTCCTTCTTCTCGCGTCTGTCAAGAAACGATGCTTATTTGCTACGTTGCAACCAAAAAATAAAGCGAATAAAAAGAAGCTCGAAGAAAATTGTCTGTCGTTGGTTAAGCTCATGATGCAACGTTAGGGTCCCCACTCCCGAGGAACAGCAGATAAACCACTAGGATCGATAAACGACCCACCCAGGCTAGACAATGCCAAGACTCATTGCAAATCGCAAGAAGTCATAATTATCATGGGAGACCTGAATACCAAAATAGGCAGGGAGAGAGCAGGGGATATAGCTGAGAAATTCGGATTAGGAACCCGTAACGAACGTGGAGAAAATGGATAGTAATAGTCAACGCATGGTTCCAAGAACATCCGAGGTGATTATGGACATGGAGGAGCCCAGGAGGAGAAACTAAAAACCAAACTGACGACATAACAACAAAAGATTCAGGAATGCAATGGTTCACTGCAAAACCTACCCAAGTGTCGACTGCGGAAGCGATTATTGCCCTTCTATATGTAAATTAAGAGTGAAACAACGGAAACTGAAGAAGCCTAACGCAGCATCCAAATTGCAATACAAGAAAATTCTGTACCCGAAAGAAAAATATAAGGACAGTGTGAAAAGAAGATACGAGGGACACAGTGGAAATGGAAACTCGAAATGGGATGCACTAAGAGAAGCTTTAGTGACACCAGTAAACGATACCATCCCAAAGGACGAAGAAAAAAAAATGAATGGATGACTGATGAGATTCTCGACATGATGCAAAGGAGACAGAAAACTCTACCAAAATACGGAACGGAATACAGAAAACTACACAACGAAATAAGGACCAAAAGGCAGGCTAAACAAAAAATGTGCAGAAATAGAGAAATTGAGTACCACAGACAAAGGAGATATGCATAAACAAATAAAGGATCTAGCAGGACAGAAGACATGCTCGTCAACAGGCTGCATAAAATTAAAGGATGGAATGCTCATATTAGAGAAAGGAAAAAATCTTTAGCGCTGGAACGAACATATTGGAGAACTCTTCCACGACGAAAGAGAACAGCCGGCAATACACAGAACTACCGACGTGCCTGAAATTCTAAAAACGGAGGTAGAAACTACACTGGCCAAATTGAACAGAAACAAGGTGACAGGGCCAGACGGAATTGTAACAGAAAAGCTGACAGCCGTAGATGATTTTGGCATAGACAAGATAATAGAAATAATAAATGAAATCTACAACAGTGGGGATATACCGGAAGATCTCAGCAGATCTATTAGCACTGCTAAGAAACCAGGCGCAAACGAATGTGAACTCCACCGAACAGTCAGTTTAATGAGCCACATAACAAAACTCGTCATCCGCATTCTGATGAAGAAAGCCCGTAGCAGAATCAGGCCAAAGATAGGACAACAACAGTGCGGGTTCGTTAAAGACATCGGAACAAGGAACGCGATATTCATGTTCTTCATTTGTATTGCTCTTTCTGAGCAATACAAATGCAGAAGGACATTCACCTATGTTTTATAGACTACGCATTCGACAAAGTACGCCACAAAGATCTGTTGGAACTGTTCAGCAACCTTGATATATTTGGGAAAGATATTAGAATAATCAAGAACCTATACTGGCAGCAAACAGACAGCATATTGATAGAAAATCAGTTGAATAGATATACAAAAATAGAAAGGGGCGTAAGGCAAGGATGTGTCTTCTCACCGGACTTATTTAACCTATACAGCGAGGCAATTCTGAGAGAACTGGAAATCCTACCAGGAATCATCAATGGCGGTCACAATCTTAACAACGTAGATGACAGTGTTGATAGCAGACACGGAAAGGAAATTACAAAACCTCCTACAGAAGGTAGCGAAGAGGGAGTGCGAGAAGAAGGGTCATTTGCAGTTAAGAGTTTTAACTGAGCAACTGAAAATTGCGTTGTACACGAAATTCCGAGTCGTGCTAGCGACGAGTAAAAATATGTATATTTATTAATATATAGTTTAATGCTCTGTTATATTGCAGCACTATTTTATTAACACCAGCACTCAATGTGCGATATTATATATATATATATATATATATATATATATATATATATATATATATATATATATATATAATGTAAAATTTATCAGGTTAATAATTGTATTGAAAAAACATACCTCCAGACGTGGACTCACAGGTTTTTTAGATCCCCCATCCCACCCCGTACGCACAGAGGCACCAAATAGGAAATTATAGGTTTACTGGCTTACTTACTTCATAGTCGGTGACATCGAAGGAAAGCATATTGTGCATGAAGGCAGCGCGGCAGTAACTATTAAACAAATGATCGGATATCTGGAGATAAAGCATCTTATCAATATCAATTAATGGCGGTACTGTCTTCGATAAGAATGGCGTTTCTTCTGAGTCTCCTTTCCATTTCATTTCACCCTGTGATACAACGAAAACATTGACAAGGACAAATTATTAATAAACAGCAAATACATTGTTTAGTTTTTATGTTGTGTTATAAATACTGACGGGTGGACTTTTTTTTTTTAAAATTCTGTGTGATATTGTAGACTAAAAAAAAGCTTTTCAAGCAAATTGATATTTTGAAACCGATGAAAGACTAGAAAAGCTTTTTTAAAGACACAATTTAATTTTATTTAATTATATCAGCAAATTTGCAAATTTAGTTGGACGGTCTTTAGGCTTTAGTGTATATAGAATATGTGGACTTTAAAATTAAAATAAATTAAATAAAATTCTAAAATTACTAATTAATGTTGTATCTCATTTTTAAAATCGTTTATTTTAGATAACAGAAAAAAGTTATTTTTTTCTTTTAATCCTATGAGAAAATATGCAGAAAAATTGAACGAAGAAAGGAAATGTAATATCTTTCTACTACACCTTATGGTAAAGTTCCATGTAATCAGATGTAATGTAGGGTGGTTCTCGTATACGATAATCCATCTCATAGTAATGATGTACTGTCACACTCACTGGAATGAAACAAAAGACAATAAATACTAAATGGATAAAAAACACTTCAATAAAGATAAGTTTTTGCAACAAGAGAAAAAAAATAACAATCCATAGTTCTCGATTTAAAGACCACAGACAAAATTACCGGTTGAGTTACTATTGGTTGGCCTTGGTAGCATCTGGCCATATAATTAGCCAAACATTTATAATAAAAAATAAAGAGGTTTAGGGAGAATTCGGAAGAACGTAAATGAAATTTATATTTCTTAAAAAGTGAACCCGCTAAATGTGCTGCATACTCTTCTCTTCGACCCTGAAAGGTAAAATAAAGCTAGTGGATGTTACAAAAGACTGACTTGATTCACTAGTCCGACACGTCATGTTTCAAAAGGCTGTGTCTACTTCTCTTAGTGGCGTCTACGAAAGAACACTCAGTGCACTCCCAGTTCCGGTGATTGGCTGTTAGGGATCTCATAACTCGACTCTATTCTCGGTAAATTATGCGTTTTTTTTTTCTTTTTTTTTTTTTACTTTGACGAAAGTAAAAAGGTAACTTAAAACAAAAACAAAATAATTGCATACTTTATGAAGGAGGTATACTGTAAATAATCGAACGTGTCAAAAGTGGTTTATAAAGTTTCGTCACTTCTTGAAGTTGTGACTTCTTGCTGAACATCATCCAGCAAGAAGTCACAACTTTACAATACAAAACATAACAGCACACTTAAAATATTCAAATCAATCGCTGAAAATATTTTGTGCCAGCTTGATTATGCTAGTAGTGGCTTTGACGTGTAGCTTCTACATAAGTTAATAAAAAACCTGGTGAACTGTATTTTCACACGCGAAAAGGAAATGAAAATATTCCGTTTTTATTGAAGAAATTTGACAGTTTCCTGATACAATATAAAATGTGTATATACCTTATAACAACACAGAACAAAAGAGATCAGCTGGCAGATAAAGTGAACACCCATTAACTGTGCGAAACCGGACTTCATTAAAAAAAACAAAAACAAAACAAAAAACGATGCTGCATATTTTGTGAGGATTGGGATTGGGAAGTAATCATCTACAATAAACTTGGGCATTTTCTTAATTTTCAGCTTACATTTCATATCCCATTTCTGCACTATTAGTAAGGTAGAGACGTAGCTATCATTAGCTATCTTTTATCAAGATTTTCGTGATAAAAATCACTTTGTTTATATGATTATCTTGACAGGGTCTCATATAAATGGATGTGTGATAAGAATCTCTGAATAGATCTTTATGTAAACAAATCACACTGCTTGACTTGACCAAGTTGTTTTGAAAACCCTTTTCTCTGAAATCATAACAATCTTTATAACAATAACAATCTTTATAAACAAAAGCTCTTTATATAAATAATATCTAGAGTTTTGTGAGACCATTTTTTATTTGGGCGGAGGAAGTCATTTATTACTTGTCAGCATTTTCATTTGACTTGGCAACTATAATGGCTGGATACAGAGTTTTAGTGAATTATACTAAGTTACTATTCATGTTTGATTGCTTAAGAACTCATCTAATTTTTCAAATCCTTAATTAGTTCTTTTCCCACAATTCCAATACTCATTAAATACAATCAAGGCTTCTCTCATATATTTTCCTCTTAGTTATACACCATAAGACCAGGTCTTTTGACATTTAACTATGTTTGTTAACCCCTGTCAAACCTCTTTAGGGCCAATGAGGGAAATGTCAGAGGACAATGCAGGGGGAGGGGGAACAGCATGCCTCTACTTTTTAGTTTCCATTCCATGTCCAACTTCTGTAATAAGGACTCTTCAGAAGCTATCCTTTATCAAGTTTCTTGAGATTATATTTAACTTGTTTGCTATTTGAAATGAAATGTGTTATAACTATAGCTTGCTGTTCCAAATGGTGAGCACTTAAAGTAAACATCACCAATGAATTTCAAATTGTACAAAGATGCCAATCTTTATTCATGTATACAAACATTTTTCTTTGCAAACTTTGTTCATCTGATCTTGAAAGATTTTCTTTCTATTAAGAGGTGGAAATCTATTCTGATACTCAGGCTGCAATAGCTATTCTGATACACGAACTGTAATAGCTATTCTGATGTTCAGGTTGCAAATGGTATTCTGATATCTGGGCTGCAATAACAATTCTGATACTCGGGGTGCAATAGCCATTTTGATACCCGAGCAGCAATAGCCTGTTGGGATTGCTATGAGTTTGAATTGGGTATCAGAAGGTTTTTATATTAAGATGGTTAGTTTACGGGCATGTTCACCATATTAATCCGCAACAATATAGAATATAGATATGCAAAAACGAATCAATCACGAAGCAATTGAGTAAGAAACACCGATTATGAGATTTCAATAAAACAACATGCATTTATGTACAATTAATATACAATTTGAGAATACAATTGAGGAACTTTAATGGATAAATGAGAATAGATGTATTTGGCTGCGTAGAATATTATTGTGAATGTTTGAAGGTGTTTGCAATTGCTATTCAGATTTGTTCACAAAATTAAACTAAGTGTCCAGTTACGTACTAAATTGTCCTTTGTGCTAGTTCAGTTATTAGTGTGTGTACGTAAGTTTGTTTGTATAATTGGTAGGAGTTGCGTACCTTTAGTTGTGTGAGAATTTGATTGTTTGTTTACTAATACTTATTAAGTAGTGAGAAGAAAATGTCACTTTTTAAAGTATCGTAAGTGATGTTTGGATATAGTTCTTGAGAGAGATAGAGTGTGCTTGTGGATTGTTGAGTCAGATATTTTGCGCGGCAAAGTCCTGGTTGGTCAGAGTTTTGACTTGCGTGGGTCAGTTTGGCATCTCTCTAGGAATGTAGATCTGACTGGTGAGTTGGACTGAAATTCGTCCTTTTATTTGTTTTGGGAAACCAAAGTAGGCTCCAACGACCTGGCGGGAAAACAGATTTTTGACTATGGATACACATTCTAGGGTGGTCTCGACCAATAACAAGCCGAGTTTCACAATGTGTGGTGTTGATTGGGCAAAGCTAATTCTTATAGAAGAGTCTATTTTTAACGGGGGTGAGTAGACAAACATTGACGATTCTATAAGCCATTTTGATACCCGGGTGGTAATAACTATTCTGATTTTCGAGTTATAATAACTATTCTGATACTCCGTCTACAATAGCTATTCTGATACTCGGGCTGCAATAGCAATTCTGATACTCGGTCTACAGTAGCAATTGACGACGCATATTGTGTCGTGCTGAGTCAATAATACACGAAAGATGACAAGGATAAAGAGAAAGGGTTATAAAACGAAAAAAGGAGATAAATGGCAGCAAAAAACTAACGGAAAATCAACTACTACTTGGTTATTGATCTTCTGTTCGGCAGTTATGACTCGAATTTTCATCGAATGCATATCTTAAACATATACACAAGCATACATACATTCGTGTATCTAATGTGGATATGTACCTATGACCTGTGTGATTAAGCGTATGCGTGTGAAATAGTGTCGTGTGCATGGATGTGAGCATGTGGTATGTTTGTATGTTGTATGCTTGTATCAATATACAATATGTATTTGGAATGGACATATATGTGTATATGTACACTTTGCAATTTAGATAAAACGCAAATCAATAAAAAATATCTTGTCTTTTGAACTTAATCAACATTTCCTGCCATTTTTTTCTAAAGTGGACAACAAACAATTCAGTTTGCAAAAAACAATTTTTTGCAAACCTTTACATATTTTAATCAGCTGAAGTAATTATAAATCGGTAAGTTAAAAAGTATTGATTGTTTTACATACAACTTTATCGTTTATTAGGTCAATTAAACAACAACATTCAAGAAATTTAATATTTTAATTCGGAATTATATTCTTCAACAACCACACGTATAATAATTAATAGTGTATATCAGTGTATGTCATTCTTTCGCCAGCAGTGGCATCTAGTGACCCAACTTAGACTAAATAGAATTTTATATTATGTTGAACTTAATAAAGTGTATATTTAAATTCATCTCTAGAGTAGTTTAATATATTGAACATAAGCAAGAAAATGCCGTTTACATCATCACGTTTTAATATCTTATTCGTACAATATTTCAAAATTGCTTATTGTCATCATTCTTTGAATGCTAACTTTTTAAGGGATAGATTTTTTGTTCAAAAGGCTTTTTATAGATTTGGTGACGATATTTAGGAAAAATTAGTTGATTTTATTTTCTACTGACCAATGACAATGGCAATAACAATTGACCCCCACCAAACTTCAAACGATGTTGGAATTTGGCTTGTAATCATATTTATAAAGAATAATAGGGATCATCTAAATGTCCTTCTCCATATGTAACATTCCTTTTTCAATTTATAACTTGCCCT